TGTGTGTGTGTATGTGTGTGTGTGTGTGTGTGTGTGTGTGTGTGTGTGTGTGTGTTCAAATATACGCTCACTCGACAGCGGACGGCTGCGTTCTCTCAGATGCATTAAGAAACCATGTGTATTCACCTTCAGATGAGAAGACGGAGAAGTCGGAGAAGACAGTGAATGGCGAGGACAAAGGCGATTCCGGCGTAGAGACTCAGAACAGCGAGGGCAACGCTGACGAGGAGTGCGACCCGCTTGGCCCCAACTGCTACTACGACAAGTCCAAGTCGTTCTTCGACAACATCTCGTGTGACGACAGCAGGTACGAGTGTGTCAACAGTGGCATGTGTGAACTTCATCATTGAACTCACTCAGAAATGTTTCTCTTTTCTTCTTCAGGAAAGCAAACGACAAGTCTGGAGGCTCCGTGTTCCCGCGGTGAGTGTTGGTCTCATCATGTGACTCCGTTGAATATAAATAATAAACAGTTAGATCGTCAGGCCTGTTGTCTGTCAGGTAACTAGTTAGAAATGAATCCTTCAATCTGTCTCACTCTCTCTTTTCTCTCTTTGCACTCTCTCTCTTCTTTCTCTTTCTCTCTCGTCCTGCAGGGAGCGGAGGCAGACTTGGGCGGAGGAGAGGCGGATGAATGCTGAAACTTTTGGTATCCCTCTGCGTCGCGGTCGTGGAGGTTACCGTGGACGTGGCGGCATGGGTTTCCGCGGAGGTCGGGGGCGTCCGGTGAGCCGAGGGTCCTTCGGGCCCCCGCAGGGAGGCGGCGGCTTCAGAGGAGGATACAGAGGAAACCAGGCGGGCCGGGAATTTGCCGACTTGTCAGCGTACAGGGTAAAAGATTCTGTTAAAGGGACTAAAGCACAGACGTGTTTTTTAAATCACATTGTAAAAGTGTGTTTTCTTTTCTCTTGCAGAAGGACAACAAAGTGTCTGCGTAGTCTCTGTGGTCGAAGTTTCTACTCTGAGGTGGAACACTTAGTTTCTGTCGGCTAAATAATGAAGATTGTCTACTAGTTGTATATTTGTCACCAGCACTGGGGTCGACTGCTCCAACGCAACTTAACTCTCTGAATCTTTCAAAGGTGAACACGACTACGATGCAGTTTATCACAGAAACCATTCAAACACAAACTCCAGATCTTTTCAAAAATGTCCTGAAATTATAATATTCACGTTTCAGTTGATGGTTTTGTTTTGGATGAATTTTCTGCCCCTGAACCTGTATTTGATCATCTGTTGTCGGGTGTGGTCACATGACTTTCTGTGACGCTCACTGATGTAGCTTTATTCTGTAATTCTGTGAGTCGAGCACCAGGTCTCAGCTTTCTAATGTGTTTTTCTACCGTGTCCCTCACGTCACGTCTACTCGTCGCCGTGCTCGTGACTCTGGTCTAAAATCTTTTCACCCTTCACCTGCGTTTTGGTTTTTCTTTCTCTGTCGATCATAAGATGTTGACTTCCGTGTTTGACACCAGTGACGACCTGAAAGTAAAATAATCTGTAATTTTCATAATCGGTCAATCGTTAATAAATGAGTTTCACATGTGACGCTGTAAAGTGAATAATTTGTAAATGTATTCCTCACAGACGTGATCGACGTCCCAACAAAATTAACTGATGAGAATCGTAGTTTTCAGCTCTTTGTTCTTCACTCTCGCTCTAATGTGTCAGAGCTGATTTTCACATTTGTTCTCTCCTGGTGTTACACGTGGTGTTTACTCTGAGGTCCGAGGTCAAACTTCATTTGCGCTAGTTTTCTCTGTCACGTTGCAACTGCGTCAAGGAATAAACTCTGTATTTACAGATTTTAAACTAAAACAGGTCACATCAGTGAAATAACTAATGATTGATCACCAGGAAATAACTTACAATTAGTTTTTCAAGCAAAAACTGAAAAATTTAAATCACAAGATTTCCTATTTTTCTGTTTCAAATTGAAATATTCTTTGGTTTGTGGAATTTTCACAGATTAACGGATGTTTCGATAAATTTAAAATTGA